AACTAGACGATCATTGATCGCTTACGTGGGCTTCCTGTAGATGCGACAATGGGTCAGCTGCCGCCATTGAGCTATAAGTATTTCATTTTCACGATACAGTCTTTGTTTGAAATAAGTCAGGACAACCCTAAGCTATTTACTACATCACAATTTTTTACCGAACTGAACTCTAATTAATTAACTTAAGTACCTTGACTTTCTCAGTTTTCAAAAATAGCTAGCCCGACTTTACGCTCTAAGAGCGTCTAGATTATTCAAAATATGCAAATATTCGAAATATGTAAATTTGACCTGAAAGGTTATGTTATATCATAGTTTCGTAGTAGCTCCAGAGATAATAATAAACAATAGAAACGGTACAGTCTTTGCAGTTTTCTAAGTATTATAACTTTGAGTAATATTTTGATCGTTTGAATGATTCAAGAAGTAGTAAGAGCTTTGAGATCAGCGTTCTAGGGTTGGTTTCCTTCATTTTCTTGATCACATTGCTTTTCTTGGTCACAAACCAGGTCACAGTAGCTATAACGTGACTTAGATATCGCGATAAGACCACGAGGCCGAATGACATACGAAACAATACATGTCATGAATGAAAAGAAAGCGCTGATTGATTTACTTCGACATCAATCCCCATGGAAACTGAGACTATAACGCATGCGCTACCGATGCGCTACCAATTTGAAGCGTAATATTCACGACGAAAACCCAGTTGCATTTTTAGACGTGGACTTCCACAGGAAGCCCACGTAATAATTATTTAAAAGGTGGACAACATTTCTGAGTTACCCTATCTTGTACCTTTCACAGCTGATCTGACTTTCCAATCTCTTCTCTCCCATGTTGGCTTGGCAAGAATGTGTCCACTGCGTGTTGACACTCGTACCTTYTCTCCTTTCTCAGTGTATTTATATACAACATCTGTAGGTTTACTGCAATACCAATACTTTAGTATGTCTAATGGTCCTTGCTAAAATGAGTAGATGACTGGGTACAAGTTCTTAAAATTAAATAATGAGTCCCACCACAATAAAAATTGTCAGCATTTGGTAAATTTCATGATTTCCAACTTGCCTCAGTTCTGCTGGCAATGATTTAAAAGTATGACAAACTTTTAAAATTGACTAATTTTGATGGGATTTTTGAAATGATTTTAAAAATCTTGTGGTAGGGTTCATTTTTAAATAAGATTAATTTCAGAAACTATTACCTACTGTAGTCATCTCGCCAATTACTTATTTCATTGTTTTATCATTCATTAATTGATAACTAATTTAATAGACAAGTGCAGTATTAAAAAAATTCATTTGATTTCTCTGGATAGTTGAAAGTTGCAATTACAGTTCATAGGATAGGCCRGGTAAGTAAGAGGAACTTTTAGATCTGTACCTGTCTTTTGGATCTATAAGAGAAACTTGGTTCAACTGTAAGGGTGCCTCACTTKGAAAGAATCCTCCAGGAAACTCCCCATATGGTTTGAAGTATCTTTGGTGCTGTTTTAAAACAATTCATGCAAAAAAGACTGAATTAKGACATTACAAACAGACCGTGGCTCAATAAAAAATAATTATTCTTATCATAACTGAATTAAAATGAGTATGCAGCTAATTGAAGAAACATTGTCATGTCACAAAAAGGTGATATGAATCACAGCTACATGTAATACCAAGAATATTTTTTTTWAATTTCAATTATTTGCCTCAATT